CCTGCAGCGATGGCGTTTCCGCTTCTCGTTGTCAGAAGACGGCCAGCCCGCCTTGAGGCAGACGCAGCAGCCTGAGGCCGAGGGGAAGATGGAAAGCGGGAGGAAAGAGGGAGAAAATGGTCTGTCCACTTTAAAGGCGAAGATGCCCGGTAGTTTCATCGGTGAGAGCCCTCGATGTAGGCGATGCCGCCGGCATACCAAGCGGTCCAGAGAGGAGCCCAGTGGAAGGGGTCGTAGGCAGAGTGGAGGTAACGTCTATAGGGGAAGAGGCCGAGCTAGGGCCAAGGCTGGGGGAGATGAGGAGCGCAAGGCAGGATGCTATCTGAAAAAATTTATATCCAAGTAAATATACAAATCTTTCTACCCATGCACTGCTTATCTTTGCTTGCAGTCCCTCATTTAGCAACTCATGAGTCGGCATCCCACGTACACACCTTTAAAACAGCCACCCGGGCGGCATTTTGTTTGGGACGCCTAGAAGGCCTGTTTGTGACATTTGGCCTGGAGACCAGCTATGATAATTGGCCTTCTTGTAGTGCCTTCTGACTGCTTTTTAAAGCCAACAGCATTGACAAATCATGTGCCCATACTCGCACATGATCTTAGGAGACTTCCAAATTGGTTCATACTTTCTTGCACGTAATTTTATTGATAAATTTGTGTACAAAGTTTTGTACACAAGCCTAACTTGAATGTGTCGGTAGGGTTATCTCGGAAAGAATAGATTGACCAAGGTACTCTGCCATAATAGATAAGATAATTTCCAGCGTCAGACTGTGGTGTTTGTACATTACCACGCATTTCATGTTAACCGCTGTACGCAAAACCGGTCATAACTCAAAGTAATTAGAAAAGGTTTAACATCAGCCCCGGATCATCATGGCTTAATGACCCAAGGAAAAAGAAAGAAGAAAAAAAGAAAAAAGGACGACTCAGATTGCGTAAGTCTGTAGGTAACCATGGTTAAATTGATGGGATTTTGGTGTGTACACGTGAAATTCGAATCCGTTATTGTAGGTTATTTATTTTTAATCACCCAAAAAGAGGCTTGGCTGGGATTGTGTAGCCGCGCACGTCTGCTTTGGCTGATGATCTTGACATGTCCGTTGATCGTATGTCTTCTTTTGGACGGCGGTTCAATACCCTCTCTCTTTCAATCCTTCACTCAACCATAAGTAATTTTTAGTCAAATTTTCACGACCATTCATCAAATTCGACATATTTCCTAATTTATTAATTTCAATAGACTTTTATCTTGCGTTTGGTAACAGACATGCCATAATCAGCAAACCTCTGAATACGAGACCAGTCTATTTCGTGCACCGTTTCCGTCAGTTCTGACCTTTCTACTTAGCTGCCTTTACATGCATTTTTGTGATCGGCTAATCTTTGACAAGTCTCGCCAACATTGATCATCGGGAGTATGAGCTAGCAGATGAAAATCATATGACCGAAGAGTTAAGAAGACTGAAAATTTTACTCCTGAAGAATAATTATCCTTTGGGCTTAATTGATAATAATATATCTTTAATCAGGAATAAATTTTGAGGCGGAGACTATGTGGTCAGAGAGAGGGAAGTCGAAACCCTTTGTCATGTTCTGAACTTGTCGTCGTGTTTTCCTTCCAAGAAAATAGCAAAACTAGTGAGGAATGGGGGGATAAAGACAGTTTTCAAAAAAACTCTGACATTTTTTTCGGTTATACTCTCTTTTAGAGTGAAGCCTAATCCACTATAAAGATCCGGCTGTTATAAGATTATGTGCTCCTGTGATCGACCTTATGTTGGCGAGACCTGTCGACCGATTCGCCAAAGTTTGGCGGAGCACGGAAATATTTGGAAAGCCAGCCGGGTCGAACGGTCAGAAGTGGCGGAACACGTGATGGAGACTAGGCATGAGAGAGACTGGTCTCGTACGCAGAGATTTGCTGATTATGGTATGTCTATTACGAAACGCAAGATGAGAGAGGCTATTGAAATTAATAGATTAGGGAAGGCGTTGAATAATTGCTTATGCCGGTGATTCCCAAACTGTGCACCACGGCGCTCCAGGGAGCCCCGGCCTCTTTACAGGGGGGCAGCGAAATATTGTAAAAGCTTCATAATTAATTTAACCCAGACATTTGGCCTAACTAAACAAAAATGTGGAAGAAAACACTGCGTATTCTCGATCGCGCCATATGATCGCTCTAGACACGTCGAGATGCATGGAACCTTCGCGACCGATCTGGAATGTTCTGGAAGATCTTGCGGAAAGTA